TAATCAGGAGGAGACCGCAAAAGACGACTTTAGCGAGATCCTTAGCCAAACAAGGGGAAGGGAAAGCCATCGCATTTCATTGTTGCTGCCGTTTCTCTCTGAGCTGACGCCCCCCCCCATAGCGACCCCAAGTGCAAGCAGAGGAATCCCCTCAGGAGTTCTTATGCTTGAGACCATTGCTGCAGCCGCGGTGCCAATCCATCTCTTCGAGGGCCTTCGCCCTTTTCGCCGCCTCTCTACGAAGCATGATGCGCTTCTCCAGGGCCTAGCCTCTCCCAGTAACATGTCCAAAGCACGTCAGAGGAAGTCTTGGCGACCGTCCTTCCTTCTAGGGAGCCTTCTGGTTGTACTCTTCCAAGGCAGATCTGCTTGTCCTGTGGCAGTCCAGGGGACTTCCAGGTCTCTTCACTAGCACTGTAATTCAAATGCTGAATCCAAGTGTTTCCCGGCACTGTCGCTTAATTCTCAGAAGACCCCTGTGACATAATGGTTACCATTTTAAATGTTTGCAAACACAGCTCCGGAGGGTCAAGAAACATAAACAAGGCCATTAAATTGTGATCACTGGTAGATGCAGTACGTTCTGATTCTCCGACTTCGGCTGGCTCAATCATTCTGGAATCCAGTGAGTTTTCTGAGCCTCGTGAGCAAGGTTTCTCAACAATGCCACTGTTGGCATGCGGGGCTAGAAAATTCCCTGCCAGTCAGGATGTTCAGCAGCATCTCTGACCTCTAACCCACGACGCACCAGCAGCACCCCTAGGGTGACAACCAAACATTTCTGCAGACGTTGGCAGTGTCCTGCTTGGGAACCACTGGTTTAGGCAGATCTGCAAACATGGTCTGGGATTCTGTTCACTTGCTACTGGGACACCCGTTGGTGCTCGGGCCTTTGCACAAGAATATTCTCCACGCAAGTTAGGGTAGGGTAGCGTCCCCTTCCATCCCTATCATCCTGGTGACTTAGAGTTTTCGGGACCTCCTAGACATTAGATAGGAAGCTGTTGTTTGGTGCCCTTGATTGAATTCATAACAGCCCTGTGCTCCACAGAACGGACACTGCCTAGCCCCGCGCCATCCTCACAACAGTTCTTAAGCTTGAGCCTATTATTGCAGCCGCTGTGTCCATCCATCTCCTTCAGGGCCTGCCTCTTCTTCGCTGCCCCTCGACTTTACCAAGCATGATGTCCTTCTCCAGGGACTGGTCTCTCCTGGCAACGTGTCCAAAATACGTCAGACCAAGTATCACCAGCCTGGCACAGACGAGGCTGGAGAACCCGCCCAGCAGTTAGTCAAGCCTCACCACGATCAACATCTCATGACATCATCATTCTCAAGGAAAAATAAAAGAACACAGGAAATGAACGGCTTCACATGAAAG